TGCGTCCCTCTCGCACAGCAAAATACCCTGTGGTGGGCATGGTATAAATAGCAAAACAGCTTGAACTGGCAGTAAACGGGGGCTGAAAAGCCGAGTTAAAGCCCATGGAAAGGAGGCCCTGGGCAGAGCTCGGGGATGGGGCCCTGTGCTGCCCGGGCCGGCAGGCCACGTGCCGCCGCCATCACCTCTGCGGGGAAAGGGCGGCCGGGGTAACCGCTCTGTCCCCGCCCCGTAGGGCCCGCGGGGGCTGCTCCGGGGCTGCTGCCGGCGCCGCGAGCGCTCTGAGGTAACGGGGCGTCCGGAAGGCGCTGGAGGCGGCCGGCTCGACCCCTCTGCGCACGTCGGACGCTTTGAGCGGGGCCAGGCGAGCGGGGCCGCTGCCCGCGGAGCCTGCGAGGGAGCAGCCGCAGACCCGGCCCTTTGGGCGCCGATTTTAGAGGAAACAAAACAAAGCTCTGACCGCCCCGCGTGTAGGAAGCGGCTCAGCTCGCTTAGAAACCCAGTGACTTGCCAGAGACCCTAGATAACTAAAACTAAGGTTTGTTTTAGCCACCCTCAGCATCCGAGGCATTTCCTACTGTAAGTATAAGGAAACACGGAGGATACTTAAGCAACCATATTTGTTTACCTTAGGTCAAACTGGAGAGATTTTCCAGAACCACTACTGCAGCTGCACTTGGCCTGTTGAAAGGCCACATTTACAGAGAGTTTCTGCTCTGACTCCATGAGCATCAAAGAAAATCCTACACCGAGGGCTGGGAAAGGTGCACGCAGCTGTGGAGCAAGCGCGAGCAGGTATCTCCAGACCCTCGTTTCTGAGCATGTTTCATCGCTCAGACCTCAGCCAGCGCCCGCATCAGGAGGAACCTGCTGGAGGAGGCCAGAAGGGAGAAGTAAATCAGCACTTCTCTTTCTTTCCGGAGTTGGTAATTACTGAAAAAGAGGCAGTGTCAAAAAAGGCTTCACGCTGAGGAGAGTCAGGAGTCTGGGGGACTCCTGGGGATGCCCAAGTGCTGCTCTGCTGGTCCCCCACTCTGGCAGCCTGGCTAGACCTGATGGGGTCATGGGTGGCTTTTTGGAAACACTTCTGTAAGGTGACCAATGGGAGGCAACATCAAGGCACCATGGAGTTTCCACACCTCTTGTCTCTGCCTTTCAACAGCTTCCTCACATCACTCAGGGCATTTGTATAAACAGCAGGTAAAAAAGCCAGCACTGTAAAAACAAGAAAATTTGGACCAAAATCATCGTAACAACAGGAGAGGTCCCCTGAAGATGATCGTTTTTGCAGTAGACGTTTGGAGTACAAGTGTTTTATAACATGCGTGGACAACAGGCGGATAAAAAGGGAAGGTTGCTCAGGTCAAAATGTTCCAACTCGGGCTCTGATCCTGGAATCTGATTCATACAAATGCACCCCTGGGCCTCCCTGCCACTTAGTGAACAGGACCCTGCAGATCACGTTGCAGTGACCTGGGTGCCTAAATTTAGCTGCCGAAATCCAGATGTTGATAGTGAAGCAATTAATTAGTTTGAGTTTCTAAGGTGCCACACACTCGTTTGGGCAGGAGCTGTGAATGCTGAACAGACCCCAGAAATATAGGAGTTTGTTTGAGGATTTTCGGGAAGAACATGCATTGACCTTAGAAACAATCAAGGGCAATCCATAACCCACCAGCTGCAGCCTTGAAAGACACAAATCTGCAAAAATAAAAATAAAAAATATATATTTTTAACTGCAACAGATAGTGGCTCAGCTGTGCGTGCAGGGAGGGAGCCTCTGGTGAAAGGTCTGCAGGCTCATGCGCACGCTTACAAATGCTAACTGCTCTCTCTGCTGGACACTTGAAAAATGGCATTTTAGCAAGACAACTGGTTGTTTATAAGTTTGCAGAAATGCATGGGCCAAAGAAATGCAAGCCAGAAAAGCAGAGAGTTTTTTTTGTTTTTTGTTTTCCCTAAGGTCTGAAATCAACCATAAAAGCAGTTGCTAAGAATTAAGTATATTACATCCCCAAGTAAAAAGAACAAGCACAGAGGAGGAAAGGGCAGGAGAGACGTGCATCTCCCCTCTCATGCTGTATGTCACTACATTGATAGTTTTATGGAAGCCAGTGGCATCCCCTGGGAGACAAGATGCCCTCAGTGCGAAGGAAAAGCTCTCTGGATGCTGCGCTCTCATTTCTAACAGCAAAAGTCTTGGCAAATTTGCAGGGACCAAGGGAATACGTAGCCTAGCTAAGACAGAGCGGGGTTGTGAGGAGCTACCTGAGGGCAGGGGGTTTCTTCTGCCTTTGCTCAGCACCCAGCTCAAGGGAGACCTGGTCCGAATAGCCGCTGCCAAGGCCGGCAGCACATAAATATTGCAGTAATAGTTGGACAACAGAAAGGCGGAGAGATTTCATGGGGGAAAGGACAAGCTAAAGACAGAAGAAAGGGCCTGGAAAGCCAAGCTGCATCAAGAATCATCGCACCGAAAGCAGATAAAGGGATGGCGCAAGCTGATAACAAACCTGCTTTTCTGTCTGCTGCTCATGCACTGATTGCTCTGCAAGTGAAACCCCAGCGAGGCCACCTGGAGCGTCAGCGCCAGGCGTGAGCAGAGGGGCTGGACACAGCCAGTGTCCAGAGGGGATCCCCAGGGGCCTCCACGGGAGAAGAGGAGGCAAAGCCGGGAGGGGTTTCACATCATCCCCCCTGCGATGTGCCCTGGGGGCTGCTCTCAGTTCATCTGCTAAAACCAGGCTGTGAACAGGCACCTCCCCGCATTTGGAGCCCTACCTGAGTGCTCGTTGTGCTCCCCAAGTCACTTTCTCCCATCACATATTCTGCAATGCCGATGAAATGCCTGAGGCTTCAAGGGCTACAGACAGAGACGGCACCGTAACAGGAACACTCCCAGCATTGAATGAAAATTGTTCTTGGGCCTTTACCCACCCCTCCGGGGTGACACTGCTTTGTAAGGGCTCCAGGGGATCATCTGCAACCCTACCCAGTGCATTTGTCAAATGAAGCGCCTGTTCAGAGTGACTAGAGAGAAAAAGGAAGGTTTCTCTGCGTTACTTTTCAACTGTGCGCTGCGGTTAAAAGCTGTGACTGTCCTTACAGCCTCGATCCCTCACCTGCATTAAATAGGCAAATTGTAATATCCCAGCGCCACTACCCAGAGTGACACAAGTTTCCACAGCCAGAATTCGGGTGCAGGATGCACAACATTTAAATCAAGTGACCAACTCAAATCTAGACTGTAGAAAAATCCAGTGGAGGGAGTATGGGGACTTAATGTCCTGGAATAGCTTAAAGGTTCTGTAAAGCAAGGTATAACTATATACATACTCGAGCATATGAAATTCCATTATTTACTTGAAGAATAAAAAGG